TTGGGCTCCCTGGGCCTCAGAGGAGCACCGCACGCGGGGGCGCTGGCTGCGCTGATGTCTCTCGACTCCTGGGAAAGTCGAAGCGACAAGTCTTATGAAGCCGACATTAATGTGGGTGTCGGTTTAATAGTGGGGTACCCCCCCCCCCCCCCGACCAAAAAAATAAATTCACTTTAGTATGGCGCCGGTGACGCCGGACAGGGGTCAGGGGTCTGAGTGGCAGTGGCAGGGAATTGGGAGGTGCCGGGGTTTGGGGGGTTGGCTTGGGTGCAGGGTCTGCGGTTCTGCGCGAATGCGCGGTCGGGGGTCGGGGGGTCTGGGGATCACCAAATGCTGGAAACCAAGCCCCGATCACTCCAAGACTACTACCAAGACTAAACACCCCTTCATTTTGAACACTTTTGCCTCCGTAACCTACACTCACACACACACACACACCCACCCACAATCGACCACGTCTGAAGCTTGGTGCGGTACAATAATAGTACAGTAGTACAATAGTAGTACAGTAGAAATAATACAGTAGTAGTACAATAATAGTGCAGTAGTACAATAGTAATACAACAGTAGTACATTAGTAGTACAATAGTAGTACAGTAGTAGTACAATAATAGTACAGTAGTACAGTAGTAGCACAATAGTAGTACAGTAGTAGTACAGCAGTAGTACAGTAGTAGTACGATAATGGTACCGTAGTACAATAGTAGTACAGTAGTAGTACTGTAGTAGTACAATAATAGTGCAGTAGTACAATAGTAACACAACAGTAGTACAGTGGTAGTAGTACAGTAGTAGTGCAATAATAGTACAGTAGTACAATAGTAGCACAATAGTAGTACAGTAGTAGTACAGCAGGAGTACGGTTATAGTACCGTAGTACAATAGTAGTACAGTAGTAGTACACTAGTAGTGCAGTAGTACAATAGTAGTACAGCAGTAGTACAGTGGTAGTACAATAGTAGTACAGTAGTAATACGATAGTAGTACAGTAGTACAATAGTAGTACAGTAATAGAACAGTGGTAGTACAATAGTAGTACAGTAGTACACTAGTATTACAGTAGTAGTACAACAGTAGTACAGTAGTACAGTAGTAATACAGTAATAGTACAGAAATAATGCCAATAAGCAAAGCATAAAGCCAGTGAGCACATTCCCCCAATAAGCAAAGCATAAAGCCAGCGCCTGAAACCCTAAACCCTATACCCTGAACCCTGAACCCTAACAAACCCTAAACCCTAACGAATCCTAAACTCCTAAACCCTAACAAACCCTAAACCCCAAGCCCTAAACCCTTCCCAAAGGGGGGTCGGTCCAGATTGAATTTTTTATACAAACTTTAGTACTGGAGAGGCCTCTTTTGAGCTAGGGTCCAATCCCCGATTCGGCGGCTCACCCTAGCAGCCCCCCCCAATAAGCAAGGCATACAGTAGCAGTACAATAGTACAATAGTAGTACAGTAGTAGTACAGAGTCCCTTCCTGACGCCCCAATAAGCGAAACAATTCTGCAAGAGATTTTCGGGCTTCAGGGCCAGGGTTTTAGGGTTGGGTGGGGGTTTGGGTGGGGGTTTAGGTCGTGGCTGCCTTAAGATTGACCATCAGCAAATAGCACAGCCCCGCCACCAAAAAATCACCCCAGCCAAAAAAAAACGCATTAATTAGAACACCCAAATTTTTGGCAAGATTCGGAATTAGCCCCGGAGCCGACGCATTAAAGGGGCCTATATTCCAAAACCGACACCCACATTATAATACAGGGACTGCACCTTGTTGCATTGCCGACATCGGACCATGACCAGAGACGGTTGCATATGCCATATTGTGACCTGGAGAATGGTTCGTAATGGAAATAAACATAACGAACTATTTCCACGCGAAGTCCAGCAAAAGTACGCGGGCTTAGAAAAGTACTCGGAGTCCAGGAAATGTGTTCGAGGTTGTTTTGCCAGTATGTTCTCGGGCATATGGGTGGCTTGCAAGCTAGATTTAGTATACCTTGGGGTTGAGTAGAGTACTAGATACGATCATATGACATCGTACAATGTAAGGCCTACATCTCTACAAATAAGCTTGGGGGTTTGCTCTAAGGCCTGTCAACCCCTAAACCGTGAACCCTTTGTTGGCCCTGGGGGTTTATTTTGATCTTAGGCGGTACCATAACCTAGATAACCGTATAGATCCCTTAAACCCTTTTGCAGCAGGCCTCGTTGTCCATCGTTGTCCAGCAGCCCGGTCCGAGCGAGTCATCCCTTAATCCCTTAAACACTCCTTAAACCCTAAACCCGTATCGCCCCTGGAATCCTCACAGCACACAGTGCACACGATCTCTTTCCACGACAGCGACGTCGATGCGACCTTCATACGCCCGGAGCTTACTCCAGAAAGCGCAGCCACTGTCTTCGGTATTGAGATAAACATCGGGCAATCGTTCGGGGAACCACTAGCCACTGGTGACATCGTCTAGACGACCTTGACACACGACCGACCCAATCCTCATCAGTCCAGCAACTCCAGCCTAAGTGACGAGCGATGCTAATGATGTCAACATCGATGCTCATGCATGCACTATAATTGGCAAGGGGCTCATCGTATTGAAGACCCATTCAGAACCGTTGTCGATCGGCCATTGGAGCTCCAGACTTAGATGCACCAGAAAGAGCGAAGCCCATCGCCCATCTATTGCACTCGATGATGATCGATATGCTAAACGGCCTAGTGTTCGATAGACCGATAAGTTTGCTGAACTGCAACGAAGGCACACCAAATGTGCCTGAAGATGCATCTTCGGCCGCAGCCGAAACAGACACCATTTTTTCTCTGCCGCCATTCTTGCCAAATGGTGGTAGCCTTCCTGGGAAACTGCCAGACAAGCTTTAGATGGCTGAGTGAGAGGCGTGAATAAGAGAGGAGGAGAGAGAATCAAATTTGTGGGTCATTTTGCATGCACATAAACCATCCAAGGGTCTAGCATCTTCCAGCCACACTCTACTGCCGTCACAGCTTCAGATCTTGGAAGGAAAAGTCCACCCCGATAAAGCACCCGAAAGTAGGTGTTCACGGCTTGCAAGGTCCATCGCAGCAGCTTGAAGATTTCATGGTTGATGGGAGCCTCAAGATCGAAATACGAATCGCTTGAAATTCGGCTTAAGTACATTCCCCTGCCACATAATTAAGATCCGGCACAATCGTAGTGATATCGATGTCGAGGCAAAGGTTGTCCAACCACCCCAGCATGATCGAGCAATCATGCCCCTTCCCCATTCCAGCCGCGAACTGATTCAGCCTAAGTAGGAAACACCGGCCAACTGCTACACTGAACGGTAATGATCGATAGGGCATATATAGGGCATGAATATGCATATATATGCTGGCAACAAGGAACGAATCGATCTTCAGCATCTTCAGGCTAAACTCCGTAATGGAAGTGGTTTTTCCGTGAGATCGGCAATGGCCGCGGAACCATTCGAAAGCACGGTCCAAGCAGGATGGAATCGTGGCGTCTTGGAAAACACCCAAACGAAGAAGGAGTAGCAGGCTCGAAGCGCCCAACGAGGTACCCCACCCGCTGATTGCATACGTGTGTGCAGGATCAGGTTTGATCCGACGAGGATTAGTACCGATTGTTGACAAACCTTGCAAAGGCCACTGTCCTCGCCAGAAAGGATCATCGATCGGGTCATCGCAACGAATGGATCGCACTGGGCTTTGTTTGGAGAGGTCGGCCCAGTTCTGGCATGGGGCACCACATAAAACAAAACAGGACACACCCTGGAACACTACTCTATCTGTGCACAACAGCAAAACTCGTACAAATAAGAACGAGAGTCGTCGCAGGAACATAGATGGCACACTCTTTTGGAAGTAAATCCAGAGTATAGGTGACAGCTCTTGCGTAAAAACGGCCAATCACCTTTGATGGCGGTGACCACCAGGTAGAGCCGATGCGTGACCCCATCAATTGTCACCTTACTTATCGATCGGTCGAGGTACAGTATATACTAGCTGAATTGCAATATATCTAGGTTAAGTACGTCTTATAATTATATGCATGACATGTTGCATTGTATACCGAGAATATGACAAGCCACCTCGAGGCCTTCCTTGTAGAGGTTCTCTAGGTCTTCGGACAATGCATACAACAGTGTATCCAGAGTGTCGGTGGCATACATCTCACTCGGCACAACCGTGTACAGAAACCTGGTGCAATAGCTGTGCCTGTGATAGAATGGTTCTGCTCCAGCCAAAGTCAAGTACCAAAGTACAATTGAGCCCCAGCAACCCAAAGGCAAAATCCAACACTATAGCTAAACTTTAGCTAAACAAGCTTGTGCTAAATTCTGCTCCCGGCCCTGATGTATTTGTAACTGCCGGACCCAGGTAGCTGATCAATGTTTGCAAAGCGATGCACATAATAGGCCGCTTAGCCTTCCCTCGCCCCTCGTCCCCGTGGATTGCGATTGGTATGGATGTCCTTGGAAAGGGAATCTCGAACCCAGGCTGAGACCTCTGGAACTTGCGCCAGAAGTCCTCGAACATTCGCTGCCAGTCTGCGACCAAGCGGATATTGATTCCACCCAATAACACTTCACTGCAATGTTCCAACATGTACTGGGCCCAACTTGATGCTTGTAGCGTAGGATACTGCATGGTCTCAACTTTCGGTTTTCCTTTGAGCAGTCTCACTCGCGTAGGTATTGGTGTTACTTGCACTGGAAGAATCCTCCCCTGTTGATGCATCAGCTTGTGGAGATTCCGGCTGCAGTTTGCTTGAGATCTCCCACCAGAGCCACAAGAAGCAAGTTTGTTCAAGGCAGGGTCGGTGGCACCTTCGGTTCGGATTGGAATAATTAAATCTGGTCTTAGGTTCCGGGCATGCACGAAAACCCTATCTATAAATCTGCTGCTAGATTGCACGATATGAGGCCAGGAGTAGCCCAAGCAAGCAAAGCCGTACCTAACTATCGAGCATATAATTTAGATCATATAACCAGTCACGATTATTAAAAAATCATCATTCGAATCGAGACACCATACTTCTTCAAAGCTCTGGAAGCCACTTGTGCCACACGAACCACCCGCTTGGCGCTGTCAACCTCGATCATATATATGCATAAGCCTAGCATATAGCCTAGGAACCCTATAGGACAAGCCTTTGAGCCAGGCAGCACCCTGTTCGAAGCCATAAAAAAGCTCATCCACCAGGTCATCATCATTCGACTCATCGTCGTCCGTTCCTGCGAGGCACAGGCCGGGGAAAGTGATGGGTTTTTTGTGCTTAAGGTTTGGGTGCCTCGGAATTTTTGGTTTGGGAATTTCAAGGTTTGGGCTATGGACTAAGTGTAGCTGATAAGCTTTCGGGCTTCAATCGAGCTACCGAGTTGGAGGTGCTGGACACTATATAGGAGGATCTACACTGCGTATAGCTAGCTGGAAGTTTGGGGAGTAGGTTTATGGGTTTGGTAAGAAACATGCAAACTGGACTGTCCTTCGTTCACCGGCTCGGTGCCACGTGCCAGCAGCCCTGCGTGGGGGAAATTTGTATATACAGGTTCCATATCAGGTGGCCCACGGCCCACTAGTCACTAGCTCTCACGACAGATTTTGCGAACTCGAGCTGCCCATCAGCTCGAAACTAGAGCCCTCCACTTGCACACGATTGGTGCTCCCAGCAGATTAGAGGCAACTTGCACAGCAACGACATAAAGCTGAATGCCACGACTAGCTTGTGATTGTATCTTTATCGTTGCAAGGCCGCCTCGTGATGCCTATTGCATCGCAGAAAAAGCCAGCACTTTAAGCGCGGGACTTCTTACCACCTTTAGCAGCAGTCTTCTTCTTGGGGCTCTTCTTGGGCTTGGGCTTAACACCAGCAACAGATCTTGCACCCTTGATGCTCCTTGGGGGGCACATGCTGCCTGTTCAATGCACAAACGAGATCGCCATAGTTGCAGGTAAGATACCTGGCACGTACCGTCAGATTGTTCATCACAAGATCTTGCTTTGTGATGTTGGCGTAGAGCTTGAGCAAGGAATCGTTGAAAGCCCTGGGCTGGGTCGGGGTCGGGATTAAACTTGTACGGTGCTAGATAGGTCCGCTTCCCAGCCATGAATATCGGTACGAATTAAGACACGGGCTTATCAGGGTGCCGGTTGATGGCATCTGCTTGTTTGTTCTGCAACTCCTTGAAGAAGACTTTCAGAGCCTTGAGCGACTCGTTGATTTGATCTTTGAGCCTTAGTTTCCAGGCCGATATTTCGATTTCTACATATCTATGCAAGCTCGCATGATGTATCCTACATAATATAATTATATTGGAGAGGAACCCGGTAGCTTGTGCACCATCAGCGGCTGCCAGTTTCTCCTGCGATAATGCAACTTGAATTGGCTTTGTTCCAGAGCAATTGAGTGTGGAGGTTTCTGGGTTTAAGGCTTGGGGGGATTGGGGTTTTAGTGTGTTTTGGGGTTTTCCGGTTTTAGGGCTTAGAAGCTATGTTAGGGCTTAACACGTGTATGGTGCAAGCTGTTGGGGCTTAGGGGTTTTTGAACTCACGGTCCAAGGCATCTTCACTGCAATCGATTTTTTTGCCAAGAACCTCTAGGTACCCGGAGAGGATCGCCAACGGAGACGTGTTCTGCTGCAAGCTGGGGAAAGTCATCCTTAAGTTTGTCATTCGATCAGAAGCATGACTCCAACGAAACCAATTAATGCATGGAACGGAGTGGAGCCAAGACACTTAAAGCTGGCAGCCGAGCTGAAAGACTCGAGAGCCTTCCCTGCATCCCCTGAACTTGCGGAGGCAGCACCGACTTTGCCAGCCAAGACATCCGCGTGGGAGGCGTGCACCGAGGGAAGCTCGTCTTGCAGGAGGAAGCCACTGTCGTCCTGAGTTGGGTTTGATGCTGAGAGAATTAGTCCGGAGTTGTGGGATTTAGGGGTTGAGCTTTACGAAGGTTGTGGTAGAGGCTACACTAGCAAAGGTCAATAGTGTAGCCTTAAGTTGAGCACCGTGGGCTTTATTTGGGAGGCCTTCAGACTTATTCATTTTTAGTACATGATTATACTACTAGAATCATAATCTGGGCACTTCCATTTCCACTGTCCCCGACATGTTCACCTCCTGGCCCTCTTCGTCGAGAAGTTCGAAATCTTCTGACAATACCAATTTCGCCTCTTCTTCACCGTGGATTTCGTTCTTTCGAAGAACTTTGTGCTCATGTGCCCAGACCCATGCTTTCTCCACCATGGGCCTGACTTCATGTATGTATACACAAAGCTGCATTTGGATGCACATGCTAGCAGTGAGCTAATTAAGTCAAACTGCCGCGTCCAGTGGCAGTGCCCCATCAGATAGGACTTCGTCACATAGCTACCGTGCTTGGCGAGCTTCTTTTTCTTCAGGTGGGTTTTGCGTAGGTTCATTTCCAGAACCTTGAAGTTCCCGTGCTTCTTCAAAAGCTCACGAAGTTGCTCCCCTCAGTGTTCTCATGTCCCGAAGCACACTACACGTACTAGTTAGTGCATGTCAGAATTGCTTCACACAGCCAGGTGTTGCGATCGTGTGGCGGCCGGCTTCGGATTTGTACATCGACAAGGCTTGCTCACTGCACTTGAGGGAGCCGCATGCCTTGGGTTCAAAGTACCGCCGCATCCTGCGATTGAAGTTACAGATCGACTATCGTTTGGATCCGATGATGTACACGTACTATAGATTATAATGTACTTCTGTGTCCTCCAGTAAGTAGGAGACTTTGAGCGCTTTCCTTTGGTTGCGGGGGCCGGCGGGGCCGCGTCACTCGCACTTGGGCCGGGGCTCGACTCATGGGAGTTGAGGCGGGTAGGGCCTGTGTGGGCTTCGGGGAAGAGGCCTTGGCAGCCGGTGGGGAGGTCAGCTTGGCAGCTTTCGAGGGCCGGGGAACCCCAGGCTCAGGAACAGCTTCCTCAGCAGCAGCCGGCAGTGGCTTCTCCGGTGTCACGAAAGTACCCTTCGGCACCCTGCGTTGCGCATCCTCCACTGCACTGTCATAAGAGTCGAGGCTTGATGTTGTGGTGATGCTCTTGTTGAGGGCTCCCGTTGTGTCACCCAAAGCCACCTCGTGGTTCCCAGCAAGTTCATATGTGGAGGTCGTTCTGGCAATAGCGGGACCTAAGCTGTACCATGAATGCATATATGTAACGTACATGTGCTCAACAAACACCCACCACTTGTGCTGCCAATGCCTGGAAGTGCTGCCTCACTCCGGGGCGATCTTGCCTTGGGCTCACGTGCTGCAATCTTGCTCTGCAGCTGATTGATCCGGGCTCTGGCAGCCTGGGCTGTTTAGGATCATACCCCACACATAACCCAAACAAAGCCAAGCCTATGTATAGGACATAATTCAGACAGGGGACAGCAATCATAGCAGATACATCTTGGGAAGCATTTGGGGCCATGGTGTTCTGGGCCAAGAGAGGAATCCCTGCTAAAAGGGTGCCACACGAACCTTGTCGCGTAGTCATAGGCAGTCTTAGCTGCAAAATCTAGATCCTGCGAACAGACAAACAACAAGCAAGATCCTGGCATGTAAGGCATATACTAGCTAGCACATAGATACAATCAACAGGCAGCGTCGACCCCTGCATCAAAGTGCTCTTTGCTGGATACCGCAAGCAGAATCAAGCCGTTCCAGTCTGTCCCTAGCTTCTATACAGCCAGACTAGTGAAACAGCTCTGAATTGCACGATTCTCTAGGGCTTCGGGTGATTTGGTGAGTTTGGAGTAGTTTTAGGATTTGGGTTTGTTATGGTTTTTGGGTTTGCGCACGGTTGCGGGTATTTGCGCGCGGGTTGCGGTTATTTGCGCTCGGATTGCGGGTAAATCTGTTCGAGCATTTTTGCTAAAACAGGATCCAGCACCCAAAACCAAAAAAAAGCATCTACAGAAGCTAAACCAGCCAGCCGGCACCCAAAGACACCTACCTGGCCTTCTAATTAAAGCCCCCAGACTCAGAAGGGGCCGGGAGCCTGAGCTGCTGCATCCAGGGCAGCCCGGAGGGTTTTGGAGCCACAAGCCTGCAGCTTCTGTCTAGATCTGCTGTATAGTTAGGTTAGGGTCCGGGTTTCTGGGGTTGCGGGCTAAAGGGTTTCGGGCCCCCTTGGTTGCGGTTGGGTTTTGGGATCCAGCCCCCCAGCGCCGGAAGGGTTTTAGGCTTTCAGGATGTGATTGGCGAATAGGAAGAATGTTTCTGGGGGTGGGGTGTGGTTCATTGTCCCTGTGACCCCTGGCTAATTGACCTATGAACCCTGGGAGCCCTAAGCCCTGGGCCCAGCCAAGCACCAGACCCTGAACTCAAGTGCTGTCGAGCCTACTCCACACCTCCAAACCAACCATAGCAAAACCCAAGAAACTCTGAGACCCCAAACCCAAGAAACTCTGAGACCCCAAATGCTGAAACACTGAAGCCCGGAGCTGTCAAGTGGAAGACCCACTAATATGCAATCTAGGTAGCATTCTGTAGAACTTCATCCTTGAACGACATCATCACCGGCTCCCAGGATTCAGGAATCCTGAGATAGGACATGCTAGGCGCTAGGACAGACTGCCATATATATGTCGGCAACGGCTTTTAATGCAGACAAGGATCACACAGTGCTTGGATTGGCACAGGTATAGAAATACTTCATGTATTCTGCTGTCAACCCAAAGATCACCCAACGGCATCCCCAGAAAAATCTCCTTGTCACTTTGTGAAAGGTCGAGGCTTCTCCTTGGGCGAGCATCAGCTCGATCTGCAGGCGGCAGAGCTCGCCAAGATTCGTAGGCCTTCAAGAGGTTCGCCCCAAAGGTTCTGGTGTAGGCCCTGAGGAAAGTCGGTTTGTGGGTCATGGTTTCAGATGATGGTTGCTGGACTTGGGATCCGTAGCCTAGCTATAATTGACCAAGTCTAGGGATACACGTACTATTTGATAGTTCTCGGGCGTTGCTTCTTTAGTCGAGACTCCCACTCTTTCTCAAGGCCTCCCTGTCACCAGAGAATCGCGGCACACCTTTCTTGTCGATGAATCTACCTGACTGTAGAAGTTTGGAGTTGTCTTCTGGCTTCAGGGCTTATATAGGGTCTGGTTAATGCACCAAAGCCACGAACGGTTTGTAAAGTCGTCCGTTTCATTCGTTCGGCTTTCTTCAGTTGCCCCAGATCTAATTCAGAAATTGTGGCCATCGACGAGAACAGTGTTGTTCTCTTCGGACAAGGCCCATCATGTAAGGCCATCCAAAGCGACTGTTTGTAAACCTGCCGGGGAGAGAAAGGCAACCGATCATTGCTTTAAGGGTTTAGGGGCTTGGGGGGTTTAGGGGTTTAAGGGTTTGAGGTTCAGGGAGTTTCGGGTTTAGGGTGGTGGGTGCGTGTGTGTCTGTGTGTGTATGAGAGAGAGAGAGAGAGAGAGAGAGAGAGAGAGAGAGAGAGAGAGAGAGAGAGAGAGAGAGAGAGAGACAGAGAGAGAGAGAGAGAGATAGAGAGAGAGAGAGAGCAAGTGAGAGAGAGATACAGATACAGATCATAATGGAGATTATGGGGGTGTGTGGGTGTGTTCGTGCTCCAACACCAGCCTTCGCGACCCGGTTGCACAGCCACTCCCACCGACTATAAGCCGACAGCAAAGAGCCTTGTGGCTGCTCCAGCAGCCAGACTCCGTTCTGGCACATAACCAACAGCACAAGTAGGACACACCTTAGAGCAGAGGCCATCCGGGTTTCTCATCAACTGCACTTGATATCTATGCCTGAGCTAGCAGGATATAAATACTTGCAGCAGAAGCTCCGAGAAACAGTGCAATTGTTGTTATCTACCCAGGGTAAGGCTTGCCTTCCGGCAGGGTTCAAAGCTGATCTCATTGATGTTCCACGTGTAGTGACCACCCAGCTACCACAGTCGGGAGCAATGAGGTTCATGGCATCGGGAGCTTGGCACATAATGACATACATGGCCAGCCTCAGATGTGGATCTTGGCACGGCCCCAATCATGCCCGACATACATGATGTGTGATAGGCTACACCTGCATGCAGTTCCAAACATCCAGCTAGCCACGCGAAGCCACCGTGGGATAGAATATCCATGGGGCTCCCGTAGAGGCAGTCAAAGGATGCGGTTTTGAAGCCTTGTTCATGCCTCGGATCAACTAGCATTCTGCTCGAAGCATGATGTTTCGAAACAGCTTTTAGTCTAGCAGCCAATACTTTGTCACGGCCCCCTCCCCAGCAAACACCTCGAAGAAGTGGTAGCGCTCGTCGAAGGTTAAGTTGGTCATCCAGCGAAGACACAGGGCCTGCAGTATTACATTCATGCCGGATACAGGACAAGGCTAGAACTAGAACATGTATATACTGTAAGCGTCAGCCAGGAGCCCAGGCTGTGGCAATGAACACCTCAGCTGTATAGCCGGGCCAGTTTGTCAAATGCCAGCTAGAGATATGCACATCTCAGATAGTATTATTTGCAATCAAAGCACCTTCGGAGCATTTAGCTGTGCTAAATTCACAACCAACGAATGGCCACGAAGCACCATAGCTGGAGTCCCAGGCTGACAAGCTTTCTTATGAGCTTGAACAGAACCAGCTAGCGTAGGCTACGGTCGACTTTCATGCAAAGCCCCAGCATGCACCATCAACCGGTCAGGGCAGCTGCAAGAGGGCAAGGAGGGCACACCCGCGATGGAGGCCCGCACGGCCCATGCCTCCGGCATGGTAATCCTGCGAAGAGTAGCTTGAGGAGACAGAATATGTACTTCATGGTATAATGTTTTAGCTCTTGCAAGATGCACACATGCTGCATGTGCACTGAAGTGCTCTTTTTCGAAGCAGTGCTGATAAGCTTGGATCGTGATGTCGGAACACCCCAGTGACAGGCAACGGGCCTGTTGCGATGCATACATTTAAACATGTATGCCACCACCCCTTGCAGCATGATAATGAGGCCTTTCCCTCGCACACTGCATCCCCAGAAGGTCCGAAACTGACCAAAAGAAGTCACTGCTCAAAATCGGGCTGGTACTGGTCCCAAGAAGTCGATCTAGTTCGTCGAAGCATAAGCCTCAGATGCGTGCCAGTTACACATTGCATGCCATAGCTAATATGCATGTTTAACACACTGCACACATGGGTACATGTATACATTGCACACACAGCCTAGGAGCTGCCTTTGCCATTGTCCTGCAATCTTCATCACTTTTTCCCTGTTGCTTGCCTTCCTTCATCGCACGGTGGTATGCCACCGACTTACGTGACAGCCTTGCTTTGCGCTCAGTCTCGTCGTTGCTTGCACCTGCTTTCGGCTTGGACTTTGCAGTGGCCTTGGCCTTTGCAGTGGCCTTTGCTTTGGCTTTGGCCTTTGCACTAGCCTTGGCTGTTGCTTTGGGCTTGGCTGCTGATGCTTTGGGCTTGGCTGCTGATGCTTTGGACTTGGCACGTGCTTTGGGTTCGGCAGCTTTCTTTTTATTCTTGTTTGTGTTTCTCTTGCCTGCTGCTGTGGCTTCGGGGGCGGCTGTTGGGCTTGGCTTGCGCTTGCGTGTCTCCTTCTTTGGTTTCTTGCTTTTGCAAGCCTCATCCTCCTCCTCCTCATGCTCAGAATCATCGCGGCTCCTCTTCGCACGTGTCCCAGGCTTGGGCTTGCTGGGAATGGGATCAACCTCCGGCTCATCCTCCTCGTTCGAGGTAATCTCACTGTCCTGACCATCATCGTTTTCAGCATCCTCCTGGACATCACCACTGCTACGTGCACGGCCACGAGAGTGGCCCCTTCCCCGAGCCTTTCCTCGGCCACGTCCTCGACCTCTTCCTCTACCCCGTCCACCCTTCTTTCCGGCGGATGTCAGCGACATCTGCTCGGCTGCTGTCATGGCTGGAGCATCGCTACTGACCGGACACTCAGGGAGCACATCGTTACGATCATAGTGCACAGTTTCCTTGCCAGGGGTTGCACCAAGGGGCTCACTTGAATCCTCCTTTTCCTTTTCATCTGCAGGGGTCTCCTCCCCTAGGATTGTGGCATGGGGCTCACTTGGATCCTCCTTTTCCTTCTCATCTGCATGGGTCTCCTCCCCGAGCACCACCGAAGCCTGACCCTCAGGCTCAACACATTCATCACTTTCCTCCTCCTCTTCCTCCTTCTCCTCTAGATCATCAGCACCAGAGGCCAACGGAACACACCGCATAAGTGTCATGTGCCCAGCATCTTCCTTTGCATCCACAGCCTCCGACCCAGCCTTTGCCTCAAACTCGGACACGGCATCAAACTCGGGGGCCAGATCATAGGCCAACGTGTCGTTGTTGTCCAGGCCTGGGCAACAAGCCAATTAAGGAAGGGATTGGATGGGAATGCACATGCACACACAAGCACTAGCAAACAGAAGTGCGATCAAAGAACCAGCTCCAGCAGCATTGGGCTCGGCATCAACTATTGTCTCCAACATCTTCGTTGCGAGATTTTCAGCTGAAACAACCGAAGCCAGCTTCATGTTCTCATGTGTTTCCTCGTCTGCTCTCACATGCTCTTTGGCTTCACTCCTCACTTCACTCGCTTCACTCTCCTCGCGCTCGAGTGCTTCGGCTTCGGACAACGACAGCGCTGTGGCCATTTGCACAGCCTCAGCCTCCCGTTCATCTAGGCCCTCGGCTAACAGTGCAGCTTCCTGCTCATGCAACTCCTGAAGTTCTACAAGCAGGGCCAACTGCTTCTCCTCCTTCTCCAGTTGTGCTAGCTCTGCACGAAGAACCTGTTCCTCTGCAGCCATACTGTTCACTCCCTTCTGCGGTGTTTTTTCAACTGGGGTGCAGGGGAGGCTGCCAACTTCGGGAAGGGGGAAGCAAGGCTTTGCTTTGAAGTCACGTGGATCCATGCCGTGGTTGCCGCACAATGTGCAAAGAAAGCCCCATGTCTCGTTCTTCAGAAGATGATGCTCCTTGCGGGCTTTGGCCTGGCTTCTGGGACTCAGTGGCATCTCTCCTGGGCTGATAGCATTGCATATGATCGAATGATAAATAGCACAGGATATGCGTGAAACGACACCTCCGATCACATGTCCTTTGCATATATAATTGCAGCCCCTGTCTCGTGGAGGCGGAGTCACGATGGGGTCCGAAGAGGATGAAGCTCCAGAGCCTTGGAACCGACGATCAGAGGGATTACCATGGGTTTGAGGTGCAAAGGAACTGGGGCAACTAATATGCTGGTAAGCTTCTGAGACCTGGCAGCTCGAGCTTCCGGATCGGTGAATCCTAGACTGTCACGATCTACACATCATCACCGTGGCAAGGTCATGCTTTATAATGCTAGCAGTATCGATCTATTTAGCAGAGAAGCTTTCACAGTAGGGGAGCAGGGGATGTCGACCGGCTCATCATTTTCGGGTGCCTCTTCCTCGCCCCCCTCCTCAACACCCAGCCCTTCGTCTTCGGAGTCTTCCGACCGGACGGAGCCACCTTGGACGGGATTAGGCCGGGTTTATGGGAAATGTACATTATAGGTACCATCGGCTGAACGAATCACTCAAGATGCTGCATGCCTAGGTTGCAGGTAGGGCACAGTTCGATGGCAAGGGGATCCCGCTTTGCTTAAAGAGCTGCCTCACGCCTGGTTGTCTGGGCTGATGCGGCCTCTTTGCACACTGACTGAAGCAGGTAACCAGCCGTCTTGCCATCCATGCTTGTACCTGGATTTCATGACCTCATGCAGGAAGCTGAAAGAACCTTGTTGTATCGAAATTTTGCATGAGTCTAGGATGAGAACTAGCGGTTTCGGACTGAGCAGCTAGTGGGCATTCGAAGATGCATTGGCCGGCTGGCCATATACAGCCTCCGGAAGAACTCGGCCAGCATAGCCACCGAGGGGCGTAAGCCTGGGCTGAGGATTTCTATTTATTGGGGCTTAAAACATATAGGCTAGCAGGAGCAATGCTAAGTTAAACAAGGAGCCAAGGTGTTGAAGAATGGGAGCCAAAAGATCAACATTCTCACCCAAGTGTTCTTGCTTAATCTTCTTCGCATCGTTTGGCAAATGCACAAGCATGCCCTGGGTAAGCCTGCGCATCACGGTTTCGCTTTGTTGCCAAGCTTTCAAAACATCACACTGGCAATCGACATCGGCTTGGGGCGCATTGTCTTCAAGAGCTTTGGCCATGGCAACAGCTCAGAACTAGACGGTCTGACCGTCCTAGTCAACACAAGGCCCCGAAGCCTGGAACCCTAGGAAGGCCCAAACTGTTCTGTGCACGATCTAGTGCGACTGCACTGCTCACACGTATACCGTTTAGAGTGGATTTGATGTCGATCAGATGTGACACATGCATGTATGCATGTCATCCGAAATGCAGTGACGCTTTGAGCAAGGCAAGTTCGATTGTGTGCAATCATGTGCCAACTCGGCCAAATCAACTTCCATCCTTCAAGAAAGACGGCAGGGCTTCGGTCCTTCTCCCCCCAGCAAGACAAAGTCGATGCCATCACAGTACCTGTTTGGCCATCCGAGGAACTACTTGCTGGAGTTCGAGAAAGAGGGCATGCGTGCACAAACAGTACATATCAGGGCGCACGGCGGGGAGGGTGATCACGGCGACCCGATATGAGCCATTTAAGCTGAAGAACGAGTCAGATTGCATGTCAGGCACTGTAAACCCTTGAACCAACCTAAAACCCAAAAGTACGCGAACCCAAGTAAAAGTACGCGAGCCCCAGAAAGCACGCGAATGCCAGCAAAAGCATTACAAACTAGGCCCGGATGGAAATAAGTATTACGATTGAATGTCCAGGGATAGTATATGCGTATATATGATCCGTGTGTGTGTGTGTGTGTGTGTGTGTTTGTGTGTGTGTGTCTGTCTTGCATTCGGATTTGGTTGTGGCATTTGCCCGCTATTCACTTGTAAGTTTGTTCGTCTTTGTGTTTGTCCGTCCATCGGTCCGTCTGTCTGTCTGCCTGATTGTGTTATTCGCATTCGCAATATTATCTCTGATGTGGGATGACCGAAACAGTACAAAGACGTACTTGGATATATTACGCGCTGTTTGTGTGTTTGCTTCCTGCCGATGTTTTGTGAAGTGTGTTATGATGAATCTCGCGGAAGCTATGCTCCCGAAGACTTCTCCATACAGGCAGCAACAACTAAACTTGCAGATGGGCTGTTTTGCTTTTTGTCGTTTGGATTCGAGGAAAGACTCCGATCCCGGTGTGCGCCGCTCGGCGGCCATCGCCTTGGGCAATCTGGGGAAACTAGCAGCAGACCAGGAAGAGGTGGGGCTCAGGGATGTTCTGTTGCAGGTCTTGGGGATGTTGGCTATACCTATAGCTTGCATTGTAGTTTAGTTTCTTTGGCTGGTTTAACAAACTTTCTGTTGATGGTTCAACCCACAAAGGACCTACCAGGGAGACAGCGGGTAGGGTTTAGGATGGGCATATGCAGCTGGGGAGAGCTAAACCATCGAAGAGCTAGCCAGACTAGGGCCGGCATTAACGAATGGGCGCGCAAGCGCGCGTAAGCAACAGTCGCATGCGCGGAAGGCTTGCGCACCGGTTGCTTTAAAAACGGATGTGCGGAAGGGGTGCGCGGAAGGGTATCTTGAGGTCTTTCCTGCTCAAAGACCTGAAATGCGGAAGGGCGCGCGGAAGGCTTAAAGCTTAAGAGCTGACTCAAGGGCCCACGCGTACGGGACAGTTGGCTCCGCGGAACACCCTAAACGCGGAAGGGTTTGTTAGCGTCAACGATTTGAAAAGAGGTTTTGATAACGAATCAGCACCATTGTCGCAGGTCTTGCAGCAGGCGTCTGCATGTGATGCTGACGACGATGTACGATTTCATGCAGCCGTGGCTTTGGGAATTGTGCAGGCCGGGAATGCCTACAGTTTCAGATTGTTTGCCAGCATCGCTCTGCTTTTATACTTTTACGCATTATTAAAAGCATCACTCAGACTCAAAAAAGCATGCAAATGGACGAGCTCATGGGCCGGACAACTCCGCGAGACTTTCACCCTGAAGCGGTGGGATCGCGATTCGTAAAGCAGCATTCCGTGCTGGACATCAGTGTCTCCACCCGGTATGACTTTGCAATAGCCGCCCGCACGCCTTGGAGCAGTCAGTTTTTCAAGTTTCAAGCCGTTTACCGACCCTGCAAGCATGTGCAAATAGCGCCTCTTCATGATCTGCTGCAGAGTGTTGTCGTCCAGTTTCGGGAAACATGGAGTTCAAAGGCTTCACTGCGCTGACTCCTACACTATCTGATGTTTCACCTGCTCCTGCTGCTGCTGCGACGACGACGACAACGATGACGATGAGTAGCGATTGGGCCGGTCGGTGTGCTGCCGAGTTGGTTCACGGCGTCATTTCCGATCTCTCGTCCTTCCTGCTAGTAGAGCAACCCCCGACCGACTCTTTTAGAACTTGGTAGCCTAGTTCGCCGCTACATGAGCGCAGACTTTTGCAACATTCCTGCATTCATTCGAGCGGCTGGCGCGTCAACATCACATCCTTGAGCATGCTTTTGAGGCTATACAACTAACTTCGAGATCTGTCGGACAAATCTAGAAGTGTACCGAGCGGAAAGATGTGTCGCTGTCTCATCCCTGGCCTAACTACAGCTCTCAGCTAGCAGCTAGCAGCTAGCATGCACCCGGGGTATGAGAGGCGACATCGCCGAAGTCGGCCGCTCCTTGGCCCAGGCCCCGGACCTATAGGGGCAGTTCGGGTCCCTCTTCCTTGAGACTATAGGTATGCACAGGGACCATCGCATGCTTAGTATGGGCCATGAGCTGAACGCATGTTTCTGGCGTGTGCCTACCGAACCTGTTTCAGGCCTTCGCCTACTCCTCTCTCAACTGAGCCGGTGACTGTCTAACTGTCTCGTTCTCATTTGTAACACCCGAAGCAGGAAATCATGATTGCATCGTAGCATAATGCTTCGGCTGCATAAAAGGGCCTCCAGGAGTATGGACACAGGATGTGCTTGACCCGCTCGTCTCCTCCCCGTTTGCCGGTTTAATGCTGCCAATGCACAGGCCGTGAAGCACGAACATGTGCTTGGCCACAGGCGTTAATACTTGTTGGCCGAGCCACACCTGTTTGCCAATGCTGCTACAGGCCAGTGCACGGCCATGCAGCCGGGGTCAAGATACTGACCACTGGAAATCAGCGTTGTTTATGGCTTCGTCGGCTGCATGCTTCCT